ACCACTCAAACTTTTATTAAACAATTTCTTTGGTTAAGACTTATGTGTCTTTTGGTAAGTATAAAATGAAAGAGTGGAAAGAAGCAAGTGAAATAATATATATATATATATATATATATATATATATATATATATATATATAAATGAATAATGGTTGATATTTATTCTTCTTAATATCTCACTAAACACTTATTCATTTGATACACTATTTGAATACTATATATTGCGTATGCACAGCAAACCTATATAAAGTAGGATATAGACATTTTATGCTATGTTCAATCATAAATTCCTTTAAATTGTAGGTATGTTGATTACTTAAAAGCCATCCGAAACATGATTTCTAATTGAATGACATTATAAATAAAAATTTATGCTAATAATGTATTATTAAATTTACACGTACAAATATAAGGATTTTGTTAACGTACATTATTCACTTATTTTTTTTTTATAAATGAAATATGTTAGTAAGTTATATCTATGATTTACTTTAAATACTAAACGTGTAATAACTTGTTAATCTATTCTAATTATGGAAAATGATAATTAGTACGAAAAGTTATATACGAAATCATACGAATATCCAAGTGAATTTAGTTATGGGTCGTTTTATTCTCTCACCTAGGTGAATGGTTCCGAAATAATATGATTGAATAATTTGAAATTTATATGTATTTGTACATATAGTTTCCGAACAAAATGATCCAGTTGATAAAAAATAAACTCATATTTTAAAAAAGACATAGCTTCGATTCTCGTTATTGATATGAGAACTATATTAATATACAATATAAAAGTATCTTTTTAAATATTAATAGAATTTTGACATCTATCTTTTCTGTGGTTTCTTAGATCTAACTTACATAAACTTTTATGTATAAAAAAATAGCATACCTCTTATTTTATACCGATATCCAATAGTAATGAATTATCATGTAAGAAAGTATTAATTTTTATAATAATTATCTAATAAATCACATATTTAGTAATTGTTGTTAACTATTGGTATAAAACTTTTTCATTAATAACGTAATATAATTAAACACTCCCTCTCTTTCATACATCTGTAATATACTTTTTAAACTTTATAAAAATCTGTAATTTTTTTTTACAAATAACTTTTAATTTATTAATTGAATAGTTAAAATCTAATATAAATAATAAGTTATTGAAAGAATTAACCTATATATAACTAGTGTTGAAGTAAGTGGATTGAAGTAATTCGGTGTCCTATGTACATATAGAGAGAGAGGCTTTAAAGCTGTCTTTAAATTGGATGAGCATGGTTTGTCTCCTAATTATGCTGTTGGTGGTGTTACAAATGGCTTGATTTAGAGGTCATCGATAAGGACAAACTCGTAGGCGTCGTGTATTCCCTTATTTTGGAGCCACAAAGGCAAATAAATCTTCTCTCATTTGAGCTTCGTAGGAAGATAAAGAATCAAGGGTTTGCTAGCAAGTGGGAAAACCTCGCTCCAATCAATGGCTGCACCGCCAAATTGCAGGCTCCAAACCATGTTGCGAGCTGCGGTGCAATCTGTTCAGTGGACTTACAGCCTCTTCTGGCAACTCTGTCCACAACAAGGGTTCGTATACTCAATTTGTTTTCTCCTATGGTCACACACTTTTGTAATTTTTATAAATTAAGATTTTTTGTTGTGCATATCTAAGGGATCAAGTTTATTTTATATGATACGTGATGATTTTTTAATATGATAGGATATTGACGTGGGGTGATGGATACTACAACGGAGCAATCAAGACAAGGAAGACGGTTCAAGCAATGGAGGTTAGCACTGAAGAAGCGTCTCTGCAAAGAAGTGAACAACTAAGAGAGTTATACGAATCTTTGTCTGGTGGGGAGACAAACACTCAAACTAGAAGACCATGTGCTGCGTTGTCGCCTGAGGATCTAACGGAATCTGAATGGTTCTATTTGTTGTGTGTTTCATTCTCCTTTCATCCAGGTGTCGGGTGAGTCCATTATCACCTTCAACTACTTTTCCTTTAAATCTTTGAAAATTTGTTGCCCTTTCCCCTTTCTCTTTTTAACTACGTGTCCATGGATCTTTCTTTTTCATGTTTGTTTTTATGGGGGTGGGGATCCATGGACATGCTAGCTAGATCATAATTAAAGTGAAGCACCTATCAACAACACACCCTACTAGAGTTTAGATTCCTTTTGTGATCAAAGACTCTCTTCTCACTTGATCAAATAATGCTAGAGTTGTACGTGCCATAAGAAAATTCAGTTTCTACTTTTGGGACTAAGTAATTTTTTGTTGTATGTACCTTGTTTTAGGTATCAGACTTTACCGTTGAAAATTATTTTATTATTTATATATATATTTTTTAAAAATTTAATCATGTTATGTAGTAAAACTAAACCCTCATACTGAACTTATATTTGTAAAATACGTGACTTTACCAATGGAAGATGTGTTCTTTTCTCATTTTAAAGACTCTCAAATTATTCATCTACATATTAATATGAAATTCTAACTTTTCAGAGTGATCGATCAGATAATATTTTATTATATTATCTTTCTCATTATCACATGACTTCTTCCTCATAAACACTTTTTTCTTTTCTTTTAATTTTTAAATAAATTATTGAAACTATTACTTATTAAATTTGTCCTTTTAATTACCGTCAAATTCTTACACACATATTTTTTTTTTCAAGGGTAACTTAATCTCTCAAGATATTTAAAATATAAAAAATAAACCTCCAAATTAATCCTTGAGATTTTATGAATCAAACAATTTAATCCTAAAGATTTTAAGAAAACCTTCATTTGTAAATAATTTTATATACATAAAGTTAGATCATTACTTATTGCCAAAATAAAACATGATTCACTTGATTTTTTTTGTGAAAACTGACAATGAAAAATGAGATTTAAAAAAAAAAAAGACAAATGAATGAGACTTTATCAAGTTAAAAACTAATAAAGAATTTTTAAAATCTAAGGAACTAAAACATTATTTATCTATATATAACCTTGGAAGGTAATTTAGGTACTTGCTCGAAGAAATAACTTGTGCCCACTATTTTAAATTCATTATCATATTAAATTTCTTTAAGTTTATATACTTTTTGAATGTTGCTGTAAAAAAAAAAAAAAAAAAAAAAATTTTTGAATTATAAATTATTATCAATTTTATATCTTTTATAATATTTAATTTAGTAATTTTTATTAATTTATAGTTTTTATGCCTTTTGTTTAATTTTACATTAGATTATTCCTTAAAATATATAATATAAAAAAAATATTAATTTAATTACATATTTAACCACGGTTTAACTGCTACCGAATCAATAAATACTTTTCACCGGTTTAATTATCGATGATGTTGCTGTAAAAAAAAAAAAAAAAAAAAACTTTTTGAATATTTTTAAATTTTAACTTATTTAGTTCATTTAAGTCGGTGGAGTGGAGACTCAACTTTAGTTAAAGCAAATGGAGAAAGAATTTTGCAATGATGATTTGAAGCATTCAAAGCAAACATTTCCCCCCTTTTTTCCACGCTTCATTTTCTTTTCCAAATTTATAGGCCACAGAAAATAAAGTTACACCAATTGAATTAGAAAGTCAGAGAGATGCTGTTGTTTAACCCTAACTTTTCTTAAAGCCAATTGAAAAAGGGATTTGCTATAATTGATCCGCTCAATCTTTCAAGCAATATTATATTTTATTTTTTTAATATATCAATTCGCCTTTTTTTATGAAAGCAAATGTCAATAACAGCCAGATCTAGCACTTCCCTCCCACTGAAACAGAAAGGCAAAACTGTTGTATAGCAGCTGCAAAAGTTTAATACATTTGTTGGTACATTTATCTTTTTCTTTGGTACATTTCAAAAGTTTAATATGCGGCTGCTTGTGCTAACATATCATTTCAAAACAATTTTCTTCGCTCATTTGTTTTAATTAAAAGTTTAGTCATAAGATTTTGTCATTAATTTGATCACATAAATCTTGTTAAAATAAATTATATAGTTTATTTTGATGAATTTTGTACAAAAAAAATTTATTGACATATGTTACAGATTATTAGAATTATAATGAATTATTTTCATAAATATAAATAAGATTCTAATCTCTTTTAAACCCCTTGAATTATTCTCTAATCAAAAGTTTATTGATGGCATGGAAGTAGTCAATTAATGTAGTATTAAATGTTGTTTCCAAGTAATGAAAAACACTGCTCTCACACTCATGAGGAAACTCATACCGAGATTATAGATATTTTTTCATAGCACAACCATTCATGCATGTTTTACTTTGTGTGCTTTAGTGTGCTTTAACTAGATTATATATCTCTAACCTTGTTGTAATTTTGGAAAACTCTGCTTTTTATATTTGAGTTTTGGTACCTCTTGTACTTATTATATGTTAATTTTGCTGTTCCAAAAAAAAAATTGCATGTTTTACTTACTGAGAAATGCTAAAAGTTTCTGTAAATTAATAAGCCAGCCTACCAAAAATTATAATTAAAGAAAAAAAATGAAAGAAAGTAGAGAAAAGGAAAAATATTATGTAATCTTTAAAAATTTGGTTGAATATAACGCAGGAAGAAAAAAAATATTATTATTTTTGGAATAAAAAAAGCACCCCTAATGAACAGAATATATAATATTAATTTGGAAATGATTGTTTTGAAGCTCAAAATCATGTCAAGCTTCCGAGGCATAATAATCGATTATTCAAGATGGATAATGGATTATTCAAAGGAAAGAACGAAAGCCAATTAGAATCCATCAGAAATTGAGCAAGGACAGTGAAAAGATCATTTCCTTTAACATTAGGATTCGTCACAATCACAAATATCTTTTTGCAAACTAAAATAAAAAAAATAAAAAATAAAAAGTGCACTATATATAACAAAAGAAACCATGTGTAAACCTAAGAATCCCACATTCTTTCAACAAACAAAGCAAAAACGAAAGGGAACTGTACTCCTTTACTTCAATAATCTCATCATCATTTTTACTTGAGCATGCCATGCATGTCAGTGTGTCACAATCCGAACTTCCCCTTCACACACAATTCAAAACAGAAAAATAAAAAGTAAACAAACAAGTCCTTCATCTCAACCTCTGCACCCTCTTCAGCCTTCTTTTCACATCCTTGTATATCATTCATTCATCACGTTACTGTGGGGTCATATTCCTTCTTATGAATTGTAATCAGAGATTCTAGCAATGCTTCGAACTATCTTTCCGTACACTCACCACATGCAACACCACGTCCTCCTTGCACGTACACAGTAGCCTCGCATTTTTTCATTGCAGAGCAGGACCACTGTTCATGAACCACTCGTCCCATTCATGGCTTCTCTTTTTATTTTCAAGGTTAGTAGCAAGGGACAACTTAATTTTCTGTGTTCACATTTTAAGTTAAAAAAATATATATAGTTGCTCTCTCTCATGCCCCCACTTTCTTCCCAAATTCGGGGTAGGGCACTTTTTTGCGCGGGCCCCACAGAAACTTATTGTCTCAATTGCTGTTGTTTCTCTTCCACTGTAGTCTATGTCTTGCATACATCAATGGTACTAATCAAAGATGGAGTAACTATCACCTGATAAAAAAATATGCACTATGATCTACATGCATGCTCCAATGTTTTGGTGCACATGCAATCTAACTTCAACATATTTTTGAGCTGTTACATATCTTTCAACATTTGAGCCTTTTGTTGAGTGGGACAGACAGTGTTCAAGGGATTGGAAAAGGAATAATTTCTCATCATGCTAACTTATACAAATGAGGAGAATATATAATTATAAAGTACTAATACTGAAAATAAATTGAGTAACTAACACGTGGGTAACTAACTAAGTTAATTATTAGTTGTTATACCCCCTCAAAGTGGGAAACAGATTAAGGATTTTCAGGTTGGAAAGTCAGGTCTGAAAATGTGTTGCAAGTAGTTGTGGCTTAGTTAACAAGTCAGCAATTTAATGTATTGATTTTACATGAACCTGCTTCAATTCGGAGGACTGAACTAATTAATTTTCTTATAAGGTGAATGTCACTTTCAATGTGTTTGGATCTCCCACGATGAGCAGGATTTGAAGCCAGATGAATAATTGACTGGAATTATGAAATTGAAACTAATTTGAACATTGAATATAACATATAGTGTAAATGATTAGAGGATTATTTGGACAACTCCAATGGCTGTGTTATTGTTTGGTAAAATAGTAGATTTATTTGTAATTGTTGAGTAAGAATGAAAATTTGTCAAGTTGCAACAAATATGTGCAGTTGCTGCAGAGTCTAAAATAATCCAATTGCACTTTCTACTTTAAACTTTCTATCTGGTTAATTAGTTCTGGTTTAAACTTTCCAATCAACTTTCCCTCACTCTCATCTTAGCTTAATAGTTTTCACTAAACGTACCCTTTTCATTTGGGAAAGTGTATTAGGCGTCCATGTTTGGATGATAATTAAAACAGTTATAGGAGATATATAAATGCATGTATAGTTTCTTAATTAGTTTCACCCAATATCCAAATGCTCTTTATCTTTAGACAAAACTATGATGATTTAATAAAAGGAAAATTACTTTTATACAGACATTTTACATTTTAAATTTTGTTTGCACATATACTTGTTATATATAGAGAGAAAATGTGTATTGAGGAGTTCATTTCCTTTGTTTTATCCCTTAATAGTATAAGAATGATGAAAATTTTGATGAGAAAAATAATTATGTGTAAAATTAAATCAATTTTGTTATTAATTATAATTTTTTTTATTTCATACAAGTGTCATAAGATTTTGTTTTAAAATAATCTAATTCGATCAAAAAGGTAAGTAAAGTCTAACAAAAAAAGATCAAATTCAAATATTGTCTATTTTAAGTTTATCACATTAACTATTTGTGCTTAATTGTTTAATTTGTTATTAACTATAGTCTAAACACAAAGATTATGGAAATATTGATTAAATATACTATATTAGGTATTTTTATTACTTAATACAAAATTATTAAATTAATGACTTGTATATACACGTGTGTTTCTTTTTCATTAAAATTTTTCATATTTTTATCTTTAGCTGGTGTTCTAAGCCAATAATTAATAATAAAAAAATCAGTATAAATTCAATGCATGTAATTAAGTTTTAACGCAATGCATATATATTTATTTTGAGAAAATAGTTATATGTTTTAAAAAAAAAAAAAAGTTGTACAGAATGCTTTTTAAACTTCAAAATAAATGAACTAATACGCATATTTTTGTCTAGAAGATGTTGCAACATTGCACAGGTGTCATGCATGTTATTGACTATCAAATTCTACACGTGTATGTTTTTGTTTATATATATAAGCATTGTTAGACATATAGTAACTACATATTGACGTACTATATTTAAGGTTGCCCGGAACGGCATATGCGAGGAGACAGCATTTATGGCTCAGTGGTGCAAACGAAGTAGACAGCAAAACATTTTCAAGAGCTATTCTTGCCAAGGTAACGTAAGATTCACTAGCTACAAGTTTACTTAGATGGGTAGAGTTTGCAGAACGTACTTACTACTCACCAAATTATTTCACTTTTATGTTTATCCATCACTTTTGGGCACAATTCCCAGGCACTGCAGGGACACAGAACAAGAGAACGAGGAAAAGGCAACATATTTTTTTTTCTTCCTAACTCTATGATTGCAATACAAGATATATCTAAATACATAATTCTTTTTTCACAACTTAAAAGAAAACTACTGCGTATATATTAAAGTTTCTTTTCAAATTCTGGTGAACGTTGAATTATTTAATATTTTCCATGCATGAAGCTTCGCTTGCTAACTAGATTCTCTTCTCTCTCCTTTCTCAATGACGCCAAAATCTTCCACGGCCAGAGTGCTAATATACAGGTAACTTTTTTTCCACCTTGTCCATTTCTAGAAGGCATAGGTTAAATAATACATTTTTCGTTTCTTAAAACATTATTTATTTATTTTGGTATTTATAAAGAATATTTCATATATAGTTTAGCTGAAATACATATTTTTTGGTTTCTAACGTCAATAGATAATAAATTCTATCAGGCAATAATATGACAAATACTAGCATTTTTTATGACATAAAATACCTCCTGTAAAAAAAATAACAATTATTATTTTATAATTCTATTTAAAAATTTATTTTAAATTTTTAGAGATACAAAGTTACTAATTATTTATCATAATAAATTTTGTTTAATATTAAACAATACATAAGATGCAAACTTCTTACTTAATACACAATCAATATAAATATATATATATATATATATATATATATATATATATAATACATAAATCAATGGAAAATAAAATAACATTAACAAGTGTTGGGAAAATAAAAAGATACCATTTTATAAAAGGAGAGAAAATCACAATAGAATTAAAATTTTCTTTTCATTATTAAGGAATATTCTCCATAGATCATAGGAACAATCTTTCTCAAAAATTTAACAAATATCAAATAGGTAAATATCATCTTTCAACTTAAGTTTTCTACATCGAAAAATTCTCTATAAAAAAACTATTTACTTATAGTTAATAAACTAAATAATAATATTAACTAATAAGTCATTGATCTAAATGATACTAGACTCCATCTTTTTAAATAAAGTCTCAATTTCATATCTTTTTAAATATAGTTAAAAATGAAGACTAAATTAAATGTGGTCAGTTAGATTTGTTAATAAAGATTAATAATTAACAAAATCAATAAATAATTCATACCAATAACATGTTTATTAAATAAAAAAACTAATTTATCTATCTTGCCATTATTATTGAATAATTTTGTAAGGACCAGTTTTTATAAAACATAAGTCATTTTGTGTCATGCAAAGTGCAGACAGTGGTGTGCATTCCTGTGTTGGAGGGCGTGGTTGAGTTGGGCACAACGGATAAGGTAATTAAAAAAGAAAGAATCCCTTCTGAGTGAGTACGTAATATAAATCATGCATGCATGTTTGTGTTGGTTGAAAAATGATGCATGCATGCATGCCCTGAATAGGTGGAAGAAGACCTCAATTTCATCCAACACATAAAGAGCTTCTTCGTAGAGCAGGCTTCCATGCCGAATAAGCCTGCATTATCAGAGCACTCCACTTCCAATCCCACATCATCGTACCCTGCCACTGTGGCAGCGAATATTCCCAACGAAAAGGGAGAAGGTAAAATGAATGCGGAAGCAGAAGCAGAAGCAGAAGCAGAAGCAGTTCGTAACGGTGGTTTCATACCGAGCGAGTTGATGGAGTTGGACCCGTTTGTGGAATTCAGCGTTGGATCACCTGGAGATGGCTCCAACCACTTGGATTCTTTCCCC